ATTAGATTGTTGAGCACAGTGAAGAGCTGCAGCACGGCATACTTGGCAAATCCCCCCCCCCCCCCCACACACATTCACACTAAGCTCCTGTCGACTCCTTGACAGATTCGTCATACAAGGAAGTCAAAATGGAGACATCAAAGCACCTACTGCTCAATGGATGCACACACACTCAGGCCGTTTCTCAATCGCGAGGATGCTTGCTTGGTAGCACATGTCTTCCGAGTCACTTGCTTCAGAAGCTAGGCAAGAATCCTTCCTGGCATTCGGAAAACGAAGAGTGGAACAGGCTAGCAAGTGTGCAGGTGTGCGTCATATGAGAGGCCCCGCCTTACATTTTCCACCACAGATTTGGGGAAATTGGTCCGTGCGCAAAGCATTGTGGGGATTTTAAGGACTTGAAGTCTACCCATGTGCAGCCTCGAAATTACCCCCAAACCAAGGACGCGGCCTTGGTGGAATTCCAAGTATGCTGGAGATTGGAACAGTCCTTCGGCGGCACTCGATGACGTAGTATCCTTGAAATATTGGCTTGGAAGCCAGTTTCCTCGAGATTGAGAAACGGCCACATACCGTAAAGCTGTAAAAAAAACGACATGCTAGACCACGCCTATCTGCCAGCAACACACATGACCTTTGGCTTACAATAATCTATAGTGTACTTGTTGATATAACCGGCTTTTATTAGTAATTGTCCCTCAACATATACTGTAACAATGGTTTCAGCGTCTCAGCTGTGAAGATTTGCTGGTTAGAACGTTAGAACAGAATATACACTGGACTCTTATTGGACAAGCTATTTAATGTTGAATTGGCCTTTTTACATTTTTAAGCTGCACTATGTTTACCTTCGTTCATTTTAAAGATCAAACTGTCAGTTCAATAATTGAAAAGATACATGCAGATTAATTGTTAGCATTTGCATCCCGACACAAGAATATTTTGTACATCATTAGACCAGAGTTGATGGTCATGATTTATATTTTTAAAAGGTTGTTTTGTCTTGAAAATAGATCCTTCCAGCTGTTATTTTTAAACCATCTTAGATCATAACATTGTTTTCAAACTCTCATTTACGTTGCTTGCCAATTGATTGTTATTTATTTTAATCCCATAAATCTCAATCAAAAAGTCTTTGGTCCTTTGTCATCTTATTTGACTTGTATCAGCCTTTGCTAGTTCTACATATGGACATTGATAATTGTTCATAAGTCAAGTACATTCCTAAAGTTTGGAAGAAGAATTAGCATTCGTGTCACCAATACTAATCGTTTCAGTCAAATACACTGATTACAGTGATAGTGTGTGTGAGTTTATACAGTAAGTGGGGGTTGAATGTGTGTTGGGCCTCTCTGCACCCTTCACTCATCTTCTTTATCTCAATATATAATGCAGTTATGGATGTGAAAGTATGGCTGGCAGTCATAAAAACACATCACAAGCCACTATTTCACTGCATGTATTATGCAGAAATGAGATAATCTTCTGAGGAGTATCATCAACTACCCCCTTAGACAGTGTTCCTGGATAAATAAAGGTTCTACTACTACTACTACTACAGTGTTCATAAAGTCTGATAGCTTACATTACCATGCGACAGTTTAAATTATGTTTCAAGTAGCATACTGTACATTTACATACAGTTGTGTGCTGTGTATTTTTAGTCCTTTTAAAAAGGTCCCATGTCATGGCCATTTCTACTGATCATAATTCCATTGTTGAGGTATACTAAAATAGATTTATATTGTGCAATTTTCCAAACTCACATTGGTTTCACATACAGCATCTCTGTATAGTATGTGTATTCACTCTGTCCTAAACGCCTTGTTGGAGCTCCTGCCACCCCCTCCCTGTGCTCTGATTGGTCAGCTCGCCCACTCTGTTCTGATGAAATCACCACCGTTACAGCGGATCATCAGTGATTATGTGTTACAATGGTGTTAGCAACCAGAAAATGACACCATTAAGGACAAACAGATGAGAATGTTGCGGGGGGTCTGGGTGCCGAGTTTGGCGGAACGTTACGCGGCTCGCTGCTGCGAGGAGCGGACAGTGTGAGCTGGGTTCATTTCCTGCTTGCTGCGTGGGGTCTGCGAGACAGCGCGAATGAACGCGGGAAGGGGGGGTGCTGAGGGGGCTGCCTAGGTTTTTCAGATTAAGTGTATATTGTATTATGTCCAAATGTCCCTTGTAAAAAAATGTATTGCATATAAAGTAAACCCTTTCATCATATTTTGTTGCTTTTGCAGCATGTTCTTTATCCAAATAATTTCAAGCGTGTCGTCTGCCATGAATTCATTCAAAGAAAAATGAAAAAGCTGCAACCTCAAACAAAATGGCGTAATAAATGTGGGGGTGCACCACCATTACACTTTGTTTTAACATTATTTGTAAAAAGAAAATGCTCCTCCGTATTTCCTCTCTCTCTGGCTTACATTAAGAAATCAACTGCATTAAAAAGGAAACTGAAAAACACACATGCATGCAGTGAGAAAGTCTTAGCAGTCGGCTGTTTTCTGATTGCTGTTGGCAGCAGTATCGATGAAGAAAGTTTTATGTCTCACGCTGCAGCACACACACTGGTTCTGCGTCTGTTTTGGTGTCAGCAAAAAAGTAAAACTGGTTGCAGAAGACTTGCTTAAGGGTGCTGTTAAAACAGAAAAAAACACTATAAATCAGTGGGACCTGTCAGCGTCTGTATGTTTTACTCTGACAGTATCAAACGTGAGGTACACTGACTGCATATGTGTTTTGAGTGGCTGACCATTAAGTGGCTCTCAAAACACTTGACTGAGCTGTGGTCCAGTCTTTGGAAAAGTAGAAAAGAATACTAGCTTGATGCAAATTTCTACCAGCTGTACAGACAGAGAGCCCCCTGGGAAGTGACCTGCACGTTCAAAAGTCAGCTCCTTTAAGAACATGTTTCTGCTCCCATCATATTGTAGCCAATAAAGGATGAATGCCAGAACAAGTCACAACAGAGAATAAAGTAAAACAGGATTTTCAAAAGTGAAGTCGCTGCAGCATAAAACCTAAGGCGACAATAACTCCAGTTCCAAGTACTTCATTAACTGTCAGCGCACATCAAAGAAGCTCATGAGGTAATTTGACGTCTATTTCAGACTCTTTATTCCAGCACTTTTACAGGGCTGAATACATCATAGCAACAAATGTTTAAGATGGATGGGTCAACAACAACAATATGTGCAGGTGCCCCCCTGTAACTTCTTTGATTTTAGATTAGGTTATTATTTTCTTTTTAGCTATTTCAATTCTGTGCCATTAGTGCAAAACAAAAAAACCATCACTAGTATTCCCTCTCACACATATTTTTGGAGAATGAATAGATAAGGAAGTGTGTGTGTGTGTGTGTGTGTGTGTGTGTGTGTGTGTGTGTGTGTGTGTGTGTGTGTGTGTGTGTGTGTGTGTGTGTGTGTGTGTGTGCGTGTGTGCATGTGTGTGTGTGTGTGTGGTGAAGCATAGCCGACTGTGGTGTCTGGAGAGGACCAGTCCGCACAGAACAGCCATACCTTCACACTACTTACCCACGCCTCATCACACTAACCCACACGCACACCATGTTAGATGAGAAAGAAAGCTCAATATGTTTTCTTCATCTACTCAGTCTTTCCTTCTCTTCAGCTTGGCTATTCAACCAAAACACAAAGATGATACGCTTCATGTCACAATTAAAAACAGTCTGCTATTTTGACAGTAAACCAGCTTCTGACATGATTGATGTAGCTTCATAATTTTAAAACCTCTGTAATACTCAATAGGGAAGTAATCCACTGATTCATCCAGCCTTCGTGGTTTCAGTGTAATGTTGTTGTCTGGACTCGTATTTGGTCGTTCTTATTTGCATATTCTGTTCTGCAGTTCATTACAGGATTATCTATGGTTGAGATGTTTCTACACCGAGAGGATTTAATCATATTATACAGACAGGTAACAAGAACACTGAGCAGCCTTGACATGTAAGTCCTTTAAACATCACTTGTAACGTGACATAAACTGTTCATCACCTCAGTCCACAGTGGCTTTCCACCACAAATGTTGCATATTTTTAGCACATTCGGCCCCTTAGAGACTGGAAGACTTGGCAATGTGTCCCTGATTCCCACAGGGACCCGTTTTTCCTGCCTGCCACAGATGAGATAAAGATGAGCTGAGCGGACACTGTGAGCAGACATTTGGCTTGTCAGGTGTGTTCGTTCCACATCAGGGAACACGGTGTCACACACATTTACTGCTTACTAGACCCATCATCACACAACAGAACCAGAGAGCCCATGAGAGAAAATGCTGATGGTGGATCTACAAATGTGCCTTACCAGGATTGGGATTTTAGTTTACTAAATAATAGAGATAAAGCATTAGTTCAACTGAATCAGAATCAAGAGAAAAATAATCTGCAACAGCCATATACTATTCTACAAATACGAGGATTTGATTCCTCTTTGTTTTATATGATTTCAAAGGGATTATCTTTGAGTACTGGATAGCAGGTATAGGAAAAAAACAAGGTATTTCAAGGTGGACGATCACCTTGAGCTTTCAGAACTTGTGACGGGCATTTTCACGTTTATAAAAAACAATAACCTATAATTAATAGAATAATAAAAAGAATATATGACAGATAACCCAATATATTTTTCTTAGTGTATGCATGTATGTGCGTATGTAGTGAATTTGTTGGATAGGGATAGTGTTGCCTTGACTACCGGAGTGTGAAGGCATGGTATCCAAACGCAATTCTAGTTATTATGCATGTAGCACGAACGCACGGACACACACACGCGCACACACATTGCCTCTGCGACAGTAACAAAATGAAAACACCTGAGTCGTGACGGGGTTACGAAATAGCCTCGCAGCACAGAGCGAGGGGTCGGTAAAACTCACGGTTAAAAAGATAAAACGTTGCTACGGTTTATCAAAACATAAAAACACGGAAGGACGGACAGTCACTCAAGGGTCAGTTTTTCGGAAATACTCACGCTCTTCTTCCGCAGGTGCAGCCCGTGCTTCAGTAGTCCAGGCAGATCCCGGATTTTGTGTTTCAGCTGAGCCTGGTCTCGTGCGCTCCGGTTCCATCGTAAACCCGCGAGCAAGCCGTCCTCTGCGGGCTCCGAGTCCTCCATGGTCCCCCTCCTGCTCCTGTCTGTCCTCGAGCTACCGCCTGCCACCGCTCCGGAGTTTTTAATGTATCCTCACAAGGCGCACTGCCGCCCGCGCCCGTTCGCCATTTCCCCCTCTACCTCGAGCTCACACTCAGCGACCTGCATCTGCAAAAACTGCACGACCTACTGAATGTGTATTCCGCAGCACGCGAGGCTGCTCCACTCCACCCAATGGCTCGCGCGTCCTACTCCTCACTACCAGGTTGATGTGTGGGTGGGAGGGGGGGAGGTCACAGGTGCAAAAAATCATTGCATCACTTCCACCCTTCATTTAAATTCAAAGGGGCTTTATTGGCACGACCATATCGAAAACATAAAAGTGCCAAAGCATGTTGTACAAGGTGTTACAACATGAGCAAAACATTAAACGTATATGCCAACAATAACATGCAATTAAAAACCAAAGAAAGTGTTTGTGTGTGTGAGATTCAAAGGATTCAAAGGCTTTATTGTCAAATGCACAGTAGCTACAGTGTACAATGCAACATAAACGTATAAGACAAAAAACAATACAAATGTTAAATCAATACAAAATAGTCCAGGATTATGTTTCAAGACCAAGTCATGCAGATGAAGTAAACTATGTACATGTAATACAAAAAAATACAATAAGCTAAATGTTGCAGAGATTGTTGTAAGTCACCAATTGAATTCAGGAGTCTATAGAATAAGATAAACATATAAGTTTGCTTGTGGAGTTGATATTTCCTATTCTAATCTTTATTTATGTCCTAGGCTTCACTATAAAGATAATAGCCTTGTGGGGAGGGAGAAATTAAGCAGAAGAGACTTGGTAGGGCTACGTCACCACATTACCTGGCTCAAATTTTCAAAAGTAAACAAAGAGAAGCCATGGAGTGTGTGTCTGTCTGTGGGTATGCTGCAGGCAGCAGAGTCTATGTTCCAGGTGTGGAGCTACATCGTGTCCTGGCTGTGAGAATAGCTGTGGAGCTTTTTCATTCCAGTTTTACCTGAGGCAGAAAGCTGATGAGCTGAAACATGAGACGGTCTCAAACCTCCAGCCTGTGAGGGGATGAAGATGAGACGCCTTTGGTTCCCCACTCTTCACATTTCCATAATAGTCATCATCAGACAGTACTTTGAAACTCTTTCTTTTGTTAGAGGCAGTGTATGTTTACTTAGCATGCTGGTTGGACCAAGTGTGTCTCATGTTGGCTTTTAAAGCTGCACTCCCCTGGCATCATAATAAGCAACTATTTCTCTATGCGTTTTGCAAGAAGACATTCACTGTATGGCTTGAAACATAACTCAGCTCTGTTGGGAAATTTGAAAAACGCATTAGATTAGATGACAAGTGAAGATGATCAGAAGGAGAATTCATTTGCATTCAGTAGATCCAATTGGATCTGAGCTTGACACTGCAGATGACATAAATGTGAGCAGAGTTCAGTTTGAGTGCAGGGGGTTTAGTTGTATAACTCAAATGTCGAGTCTGCTTTCCTGATAGGATTTGTAATCTGGGATAATTGGCCCCTTTCAGGGACTCAGATTATACCAACACCATGGCTGTCAGTTGTAATGGGCCGCCATACTGTTTAGCAGCTGAAAAACACACACACACCATTTTTCTTGTAGAGCTCAAAAGCTAGCTGTAACGTTTCATTCAATAACATGATAAATGTACGTTTGGTGCTGAATCCAGACTCAAATGAGGAACAGAAACAGTGATGTTCTATTATAGTCAGCTTTCTTCTTTCTCCACTGCTCTCCATATTTGTCGGTATCGCTTTAACTTTTACACTTAGGGCCTATGGGTGGCATTAGCACAGTTTTAGGGGACTTGGCTTGAAGCCGGAGGGTGGTGGGTTTGAGTCCCACACGGACCCCGGTGCGGAGTATGTGCTGGTAGCTGGAGAGGAGCCAGTTTATCTCCTGGGCACCGCCTATGTGCCCTTGAGCAAAGCTCTAATTGCTTGGAGCTCTGACTGTGTGGAAGACTCTACACTCTAAAATCTCAACAATTAGGTCCTGTGTGGATTTGGGGCATTTTTGTAATGAATAACATAAAAAATGTCCCTAATGAAGGATTATTAAAGTGCTTCCTCTTAACAAAATCTGATAGTCCGTGCAGTGTGAAGGATGCATCACATTTTACTCTTCAAGTTCAACACTGTAATCAACTGTGTCGAACACAACAAAGCTGTTGTTTGCCAAGACTAACAGTAGTTTGTTTGGCTTTAGACCTTTGATTGAATACATTGTAACCATACAATCTTTTCACAATACATAGAGATCCATGTCAGCGGCAACTTCTGTATTTGGTGTTTGGCTGTACTGAAACACATTCCCTGGGCTTAATAGGATCTATACAGACAAAGATAGACAGAAGGCCAAGATTCAAAGGGATGCGGCTAAGGTTCAGACATGGTCTGCTGCTAAAGAATGTGCAGCATGCTGCAACAATATAGACACATGCATGTCAAGTTTTTTTAGATTGTCTTAAAAACAAAACATTTTGAACATGTGAATAATTTGTAGTGAGTTAAGAGGATAAAAAGTTGATAGTTGTTAAAGATCGTGAAAACTTGGTTTCAAATCTGTTTGTGATATACAGAAGAACAGAAGAAAAAAAGGCTCATATCTGCCATGATCTACCAAAGGGCCAAGATAGAGCTAAACCCAATTACTCAAATATAACCCAAACCTTTCATGTCTTTCTCAGATCCTCAAGCAGATGCCTGGAGAGAAACAGATTTGGCAGAACGCACTGAAAGAGAAGCGATAAAACTCCAGTCAGCTGTGACAAGATATCACAATGAAGAAATGCTGCCAGACAGGAATTAGTATATACCATAAGACTCGTAACTTCTATAGGTCTCCGGTAAATCTAAAGAAAGCAGCAGAATCTGTATTTTGGACTTTAAACACCAGCAGATGCTTGAAAGGGAAAGAAGGAAAGAAGGAAAACACACAGTGTTGAATTGCTGAAGAAGCAAAATAAAAGGAGGGGACTTTGGGCTTTCTTGTGCCGACTCTGGAGGATGATGAAATATGCTGCTCTGCGGTCTCTGGGGACCACTGTGACCAGCCACTGATACACACACACACACACACACACACACACACACACACACACACACACACACACACACACACACACACACACACACACACAAACACACACACACACACACACACACAAACACACAAAGACACTCACACACACACTCTCACACACACACACACACACACACACACACACACACACACAAACAAACACACACACAAACACACAAAGACACTCACACACACACTCTCACACACACACACACACTGTCACATATGCACATGCAGCAAAATCAAATAAACCTGATAGCACAGTGTTTGAATGAATGAGCCCTACATACAGTAATAGTGCAAGCACCATACTGTAAGATACACCATGTTACATGATGATGAACAGGGAGAATGGATTATAGGGGGAGGGGAAGGAAAGTAAGGAAGGAGATGGGGAAAAGGGTAGAACAAGAGGGGCCGGAGCAAGGAGAGAGAGAGATAGTAAACCAATTACCAGGAATGGAGAAAGCCTTTCATCCAAAAACTGTCTCCACACACGGAAACATACACACTTTTGTATGCCTCCCTTCTGCATGCAAATACCGTATCCACACACACATGGTCAGACATCTCTCTTTATCACTCACTCACACACATTTTCAGAGCCCTCTTCAAACAAATGCACTCTTGATTAAATATGGAAGAGTGCCTCTGGCGAACCGAGAAGAGATACAATTCCTCTGCTCTCTTATGAAGCTCTCTGTCCATTGGGATAAAAAATAAATGCCAAAGGAAGGGAGAGAGAAGACGAGGAAAGAACACGATGGGCTGAGAAAAAAGGCACAAAGGGAAGGGGAGGATGGAGAAGAGTGGAGAGAGTAACCCCCTGATTTTTCCTCTAGCTTCATCATCAAGTCAACATTTCAGTGTGTTCAATACTTAAAAACGATGTGTTTGATTATCAAATGTTATAATGCTTACTAAACTAAAATGGTGAATACTAGACCCTGTAAACATCATGTTAGCATTGTGCCTATGTGGGATATGCCTTAAAGTCCAGCAAGCATGAGACGCTTAGTCTTGTTTAACTCATATAGGGGCAGTTTATGCCTGCAAAACATTTATATAAGCATGTTAGTCTATGAAGCCAAACATTATGAACCAGCATGTGAGGGATGAGATAAACAGTTTTGCATCCAAACAAAGAAGAAACTTTTAATGGACTTCAAGGCGACCCCTTCCTGCTGAGACAATTAAAAAGCCATTAGATGATAAATACTTCACACACCCCACAGTAGCATAATGAGTCTGACGCACATGCACATGTTAGAGTGTGTGTGTATGCAGTGAAACACACACTGCCATGTGCACAGACGCCCTCAAGCTATTTCAGTTCAATATGCGAGTCATATATTATTGGTGCTGCGTGGGAAAAGCACAGAACAGTTCTCTCCAAACTGAACGATTCCTCTCATCATATATGCTGCGTGAGTGCCATCTAGCAGTGACCATGGTGAACTGCACAGTTTAGTACAAACAATGAATATGGGGATCTTAAAAAGGTAAAGGGTAGTACTTGGCCATTGGAGCCAATGTCGCAAGTCAATTGGCTAAACTGCTTTATAGTAAACTGCTTTATAGTAACACTGAAATGTCAGAGGTTTCGATCATTAATGTGGTTAACCTACAGTAGATTAGCCAGGGTCACTGCATTAGCCAAAAACAGAATTGTTTTTCGCTAATCTGATTTATAAATCCTTAGCCTACTCTACAATAGCATGATATGAATTGAAATGCTTGAATTTACTGCACTGAAAAAACTGAAAAGTGTACTTTAATTATATATTATGTCAACAGATGTCACATAAGTATCTATACTTATGTGACATCTGTTGACATAATATATAATATAATATAACTTACCTATAGGTAAATTGAAAGCAAACATATTAAATAATAAGTAAATAGTATATTATATACTAATAGTACACTTAATATAATGCAAGTAAATTAGCAGAATTCCTCGGAATTTGAGTTTCATTGATAATGAAATGACAAAAAGAGGATATGACTACATCTTTCCTGTCTCAGGGAGTAACTCCATAGCCAAAGGCAATATTATCTCATAAGCAAATAAGATAAGAGAACATTAATTTAAAGGTAACATTTT